GCGACGGTGCTCGCCGCCCCCAAGCCAGGAGATCACGTCAGCCCCTCGCCCGCACACGGCCCCCTCGCGTGGATAATGTCGCCGCGTGACTTCCAGGTGGGTATGGAGCTCAATAGCCAACCGGACGGTACCTGAGCTGGGAACGTGGTCTCGGTGCGAGTCTTTCTAGTCTAAACCCAGGCACCCAGCCTGGGGCAGGTGCTGGGAGGGCGCAGGGGGCATCTGAGCAGCATCTCTGCTCGAGGTGTGGGTGGGGCTGAACCCCCATGTAAAGGCGCAGTTCCCAGTCACATGAGACATGTGGGGCCACCAGAGGGCACCAAAGACTGGGGCCTGCAGGGGCCTGAGGCTCTGGCCGCACACGGGCCTGGGGACAGGCTGGCCAGGCCCCCTCCTCGTCCTCGTCCTCGTCCGTCCACAGGACGGGACCCTCAGAAGGAGGCTCGCAGTGTCTAACCCGAGGCAGCAGGATCCGCCCCAGAGGCCCCGGGCTGACAGCCGGCATCGTGGGGGGGACATGAGCCACCACGGCCACGCTCCTTCCCGAGACGCTGCGTCTTCATCGTGTCTGAGCCGGCGCCCCCACACGCTCCCTGCGAGGCGGGCGGGCGGCTGGGACGTTTGGCGGCTCTAAGCTGGGTCGCCCAGCCAGCGCCCTGTCTCAGAGGACGGCCTGGGACATCCTGTCCAGCCCACAGGGCTGAGCCCGGTCGGCACCAGGACTTGGGACGGACGGAGGCCATGGCACGACCACCTGAGCCAGAAGCTGCAGGCAGGACCTCTGCCCCCCGAGACGGGGCCGTGGCCAAGGAAGGACGCGGGGACGGGAGGGACCCCGAGCAAGCGGCAGGCCTTTTGCAGCAGATAAGTGGGGGCGGGGGCCGGCTTGGGTAAGTCCCAGCCACACGATGGCCTCAGTTTCCTCAATTGTTAAAAGAAAAAAAAAAAGGCAGGGGCGTGGCTCAGGGGTTGAGCATCACCCTGTGAACCAGGAGGTCAGGGTTCGACTCCCGGTCAGGGACATGCTTTGGCTGCGGGCGTGCAGGAGGCAGCCGCCCCCTGATTCTCTCTCATCATTGATGTTTCTCTCTCCCTCCCCCTTCTCCCCCCTTCCTCTCTGAAATCAATAAAATATATTTAAAATACAGAAAGAAAGTCCCACCTCCCAGAGACAGTGGGAAAGTCACCTTGCGGATGTGGGCCTGCAGGCCCGTGACCCCGTACAGCCGGAACACGAACCACATCTTCAGGGAGCGGAACCTGCGTCCCAGCGGCAGCTGCCAGTGCTGTGGGGGACAGACAGCCTCAGCGGCGAGCCAGGGGCTGCCCCCCCCCCCTCGGGACAGTGAGGCCCAGAGAGGAGGGAGCAGGTCTCGGCGAAAGGCCGGGGGCCGGAGCAGTCGGTGCCGTGGGAGCCACCATGCTCACGGTGCTGTGAGCTCAGGACCCGCTGTTGAGCGCACACCGGGCCGGAGCTGGGCGGGGGCGCCGTGGAGAGCTGGGGGCAGCCCGGAGGGGCAGATGCTGCTTAGAGCTGAAACTCCCTCTGCACCCAGCCTCGTCCCCCTGCTCCCCACCTCCCCCAAGACCCCGAGTCCTGAGGGGACAGGGACTCGGTCTTGCCTGTTTCATTCCCAGCCCAGCCCCTCGCCCGGCTCAGAGCAGCCATCACCCGTGACCTTCGTGGGAGGAGCAGTGTGATTCCTGTGCTTAAACCACCAGGAGGAAAACCCGTTCCGCCCGAGGCGCCCACAGGCCTCTGCCCGTCAGTGCTCGCTCCGTGGGTGTCCCATGAGCAACTCTGGGCACTTGGCCTCCACGGTGGACAGCACGTGAGCCTGTCCCCGGGCTGTCCGATCCACTCGGCATAAGCCGCCCAGACGGACAGAGGGAGACGCAGCTCCCGCTCCCGACAGCGTGGGGGCCAGGCTGGAGGGCGGGCCCCAGCCCAGGTCCCAGCTCTGCCTTCCGATTAGGGCAGCAGCTTCTCCACCTCCCAGCCCGACCCCGCTGCCAGGGGACTGCGGCGATGCCCACCCCGCCGAGCCGAGACCAGGTCCACTGGACGAGGGCCACTCCGTCTAAGGACACGCCCGTCCCTGGAGGACCGGAGTGCAGAGTCCCCGTCCCCGCGGGGAAGTTCCCGCGGGACTGACTCCCTCCCACGGTCAGAGCTCAGCGGAGCTGCCGGCCTGACCTCCTTTGCTGTCAGGATGCGGGAGGGCGTGTCCTCTAGTGGGACCCCCATCCTGCGAGGCCAAGGGACCAGCAGGGCTTGGGGCTGCGACAGGCCCCGCCTCCCGTCTGCACCACAGGGCCCTGCGCTGCCCCGGACACAGCGACCACTTACCCTGTAGTCAGTGATGAGCCCTGGGAGAGAGAGAGGAAGAGAAGAGAAACCGTCAGACACACGGGGTCACAGGCCTAACTTCTCCGTTCACGGTCAGTCCGCCCCCTCCGGACCCAGGTGCCCAGGGCCCTGCGGGAAACGCTGAGCTGTGGGTGGCCCCGCGCAAGCCCTGCCGCAGCCCTGGGAGCAGACGGGGGCCGAGAGGCGCTCACCCGAGTCCTGGTGGCTGTGCTGCAGGTACACGGGGTCCAGCTTAAAGGCTCCGGTCAGGTCTGCGCGCTTCCTCACCCTGGTTCAGGGAGAGCGACCGCTCAGAGGGCCTCTCAGGGGACTCCGCCTGGCCCCTGTGCCCTCCACCTGGCCCAGCGCCTCACCTGCTCCGGGACCCCTTCCCCGCCCTCCGCACAGGCCCTGCCTTTGTGCTCCCACCACCCTGGCTCTGAGCACCCGGGGCAGGAGGTATAAGGAATAAACATTTGGCCGGCGTGGCTCAGTGGTTGAACCAGGAGGTCATGGTTCAATTCCTGGTCGGGGCACATGCCCGGGTTGTGGGCTCGATCCCCAGTGGGGGCGTGCAGGAGGCAGCTGATCCATGATTCCCTCTCATCATTGATGTTTCTCTCTCTCTCCTTTCCTCTCTGAAGTCAATAAAAACATATGTATATAGTTTGAAAAAGAATAAATGTTTGGTCTTTGTCCCCCGTCCCCGGCACACGGTGCCTAAATCCCCCGGAGTCTGTGCCGTGAGGAGGGTGTCTCCTCGCTCAGGAGGGGCGGCCGCGGGAACACCGGATCCTGGGGAGAGGGTGGAGCTGTGCGCCCCGTTCCCCACGCTCCGGGCGGGGAGAGGGCTGGAGGTTGAGTCCATCCCCGGCGGCCAATGAGTTAGTCAACTGCACCTCCGTGGGGAGACTCCAGGCCCCACGGCGATGCTGGGGAGCTGCTCATGGACCCGCGGGGCGTGGCTTTTACCCCCGTGTCCCTCCAGGCCCAGCGCCGGCCCCAGGGTGTCCTGGCGTGTGCGGGGTGAGCAGAGGGCTGGCGGGGAGCGGGTGACACCGGGCTGTGGCATTCCGTCCCCAGACCTCAGCCCTCCTGCACCTGTGTCCCCCGGAACATGCATCGGGGTGATGGTCACGGTGAAAGCCCAGGCCACACCTCCCGCAGGGACGGGGATCTGTGATAACGCCCCCCCCCCCGCCCCCGCCCTGGGTTCTTTGGCAGCATGGACACCACCTCGAAGCAATTTTTCGGCAACTAGATTATCTGAGAGCAAACTAGAAACCTCGCTCTAGCCCTAGCTGGTTGGCTCAGTGGATAGAGCGTCAGCCCACAAACTGAAGGATCCCGGGTTCGATTCTGGTCAAGGGCACGTACCTGGGTTGTAGGCTCGATTTCTGGCCCTGGTCGGAGGCAACCAATCGCTGTCTCTCTCACATCGATGCTTCTCTCTCTTTATCTCTCCCTCTCTCTACCACCGTCTCTAAGAATCAATGGAAAAATGTCCTCGGGTGAGGATTCACAGAGAGAGAGAGAGAGAGAGAGAGAGAGAGACGGACGTTGGTCTGACAGTAGGTTAGGCTCGGAAGCAATAGAAGGTTAGGGCCCCTGAGAGGGAAGCCAGCGAGCCTGGGACGGATACGGGGACCAGGAGCACGAGGGAGCGGCTGGGTTTGTTAGGAAGCTGGCGGAGCTGGTGCTGCCTCAGGGGTGAAGGAAGTGCCGGGAGCTGGCGCTGTGCCCTCTCTCCGACCCGTGAAGGGACCGGTCACACCTGTGGCCCCTGCATGAGGACCCCTGGAGGGGCTCGCGTGGGCCCCTGTCCTGGGGAGGCGCTGGGCCCAGCCTGGACGCTGGGGCAGGAGAGCGAGGGGTGGGCATAGTCAGCGCTCCCAGGAGAGCTCCGACCTCGCCGTGGGGGTCGCACGCCCTCCCCGCACGCCAGCATGACCTTCCTTTACAAATGTTATGGTTTTTCTTCATTTAAAATATTACGCAGCCCTGGCCGGGTTGGCTCAGTGGACAGAGCGTCGGACAGAACCGAAGGGGCCCAGGTTTGATCCCAGTCAAGGGCTCATAGCACCATTGCAGGCTCCGCCCCGGCCCGGGCCCTGGTCAGGGCGCGTGCGGGAGGCAACCAATCGATGTTTCTCTCTATCTTTCCCACTCTCCCTAAAAATAAATGGGAAAATATCCTCGGGTGAGAATTAAACATAAATAATAAATAAATAATGAAAATATTATGCAGCATTAAAGCTGTGGTTTTAAAACAGATATGAATAGTAATACATCCACCTGGCTACTTAAGAGTCAAACCCGAGCAAAACCGCATGTCCTTCCCCTCACCGCCCCCAGGGGGCGCCATGCAACTGCCTGGCTTGATCACGCCCGGAGTTCTGAATTCTCTGCACAAATCCCTACGTCATCTATGGTGTTGATGTGCATGTTTCTAAACAACATACAAACTCAAGATGTTTAAGCCGAAACGGCATCATTCTGGGGGGCCCCATTCACTCCTGTTCCCTGCCACAGCGGGGCCCACCCACCTAGTGAGCACATCCCGCTCGTCCGCCCTCCTGCTGTTACTGTTAGACACGGCTCCGCTGCGGGGACAGGACAGCGTGGGGCCCCCTAGCTCCCAGGGGCGGGGAGAGCGTCAGCCCACACCTGGGTGGAGGCGGCACCAAGGGCATCTCAAGGTCATGCCGCCCGCCAGCTCCTGCCAACACTCAGCGTGGATGGACTGGGGAGAGGACCCTGTGCTGTGCTACAAGCAAGGCCTCTTACATCCTCTTTTTTATTATATATATATTTTTTTTATTTCAGAGAGGAGAAAGGGAGAGAGAGATAGAAACATCATGATGAGAGAGAATCATGGATGGGCTGCCTCCTGCACGCCCCACACTGGGGATCGAGCCGGCAACCCAGGCCTGTGCCCTGACCGGGAATCGAACCCTGACCTCCTGGGTCACAGGTCGATGCTCAGCCACTGAGCCACACCAGCCGGGCCTTATGTCGTCTTTAAAAGCCTGCAGCTTGGCATAGGCCCCCTGACGAGGGCTCGGGTTACCTCCCGGGGCCAGTAACAGCTGAGGAGACTCAGGCTACTGACGGGCCCCAAGACCAGAGCCCAAAGAACCCACAAGGTCACGGGGAAAACCGTGCAACTGGCCAACCACAAGCTCTAGATCAGTGATTCTCAACCTTCCTCATGCCGCGACCCTTTAATACAGTTCCTCATGTTGTGGTGACCCCCAATTTCATTGTTACAAATTGAACATAATTAAAGCATAGTGATTCATCACAAAAACAATACGTAATTATAGATGTGTTTTCCGATGGTCTTAGGCGATCCCTGTGAAAGGGTCGACTGACCCCCAAAGGGGTCGCGACCCACAGGTTGAGAACTGCTGCTCTAGCATCAAGCCTCGCCCGCACCACAGGGCTGGGGTCTCCCACAGTCGCTAAATCTACAAAAGGACTCCACGCAGCAGCGGACAAGGGTGGTGACACGTTCCCTGATAACAGTTCATTTCAGCCCTGGCTGGTGTGGCTCAGTGGATAGAGCGTCGGCCTACGGACCAATGGGTCCCGGGTTCGATTCCAGCCAAGGGCACGTACCTCGGTTGCAGGCTCCTCCCCGGCCCAGGCCCTGGTCGGGTACGTGCAGGGGGGCAACCTATCGATGTGTTTTCCTCACATCAATATTTCTCTCTGTCTTTTCCTCTCTCTTCCACTATCTCTAAAATCAATGGAAAAATATCCTCAGGTGAGGATTAAAAAAAAAAAGTTAATTTTCTTTGGAAAAATAATCCAGCCCCTTTGAGAAGCAGATCCACGTGCCTGGGTGCGCGTGGGGTGGGGCTTTCTCTGGAGGACGCCTGGCGTTAGAGACATTGCGTAGAAAGGATCCAAAACGCCGAGCGGACACTGAACAGCTGAGCAGAGTAAGGAAACCGCTGGGAGACGTGTCTGCTGTGGCTGTAAAGACGGCGGGTGTTGTTGCCCTGACCGGTGTAGCTCAGTGGATAGAGCGTCAGCCTGCGGACTAAGGGGTCCCGGGTTTGATTCCGGTCAAGGGCATGTACCTTGGTTGTGGGCACATCCCCAGTAGGGAGTGTGCAGGAGGCAGCTGATCAATGTTTCTCTCTCATCGACGTTTCTAACTCTCTATCCCTCTCCCTTCATCTTTATAGAAAATCAATAAAATATTTTTTAAAAAAAAAGACGGCGGGTGTTGGAAAGGTCCATCACCTCGTCCGTTTCCGTGTTTAGAAAGTGTCGCCCACATCGGTAAAATGTCATGACGCTGCGAGAGGCACTTGCTGCTTACGGGATGGGAAAAAGCCCCGAGAGCAATAAAAAACAGAAACCCCTTTTTAGCTTGTCTGTTGCAGTAGCCGAGCCTCTCAGCACATCTAGAAAAACTCCCCGCGTAAACGTGTTTGCTTGTTTTCGACTCAGGCGTGTGGGGGGCACCCGCCCTCCCTCAGGGGCCCCCGCGCCTCCCCGGGTCTCTATTCTATGGCTGGGGACACCGCCCGTCACCGCTGCGGCCTCTCGGGGTGGCCGGTGTGTATGCTGATCGTGGGGACGTTCAGGACGGCGCAGGAGAGCCCCTGAGCGCGCCTCGGGCTCCATTC